GTGTGCGTGGCAGAGACCCCCGTGGACGTGGGTGCAGACTGGGAATCCCTAGAGTCCCTTGCATTTGAGGGGAGCTCCAGAGTGGTGGTGAATTGGCGGGATGCAGTGGGACCAGTTTCCAGCCCTGATGTGGTGGCCTCCACAGTGTACCGTGGTTTCTCTGAGGAGGAGTCAGGCTTTGCTGGCTGGGCTGTGGGCCCCACAGAGCTGGCATCAAGGGGAGGCATGCTGTCCCCCATGCTGCCTGTCCAGGTGGTCACGGTCCAGGATGTTTTTCCTGGCGTAGCGGTGGGCGACTTACCCATGGATTGGAGACTTTCGCTGGTGGCAGCGGGAGCAGAGAGGCTATGTCTCCACACAGTGGATGAGTCACTGGAAGGGGATTTGATTGTCCTCGTGGTATTGAGGGTGCGGGCAAAGCTTCTGTGCTGCACAGGCGCAGTGCTTGGTGCAGAGGATGGCTTGGTGTTTCCGCTGGCTAAGCGCCCACTCATTGAGGGCACGGAGCTGGGAGCAGCAGGGGTTGTGAGGGAGCTGGTGGCTCCCGTGTTTATGGTGGCAGAGATGCCCAGGCTGGGTAGAGCAGTCGTGGAGACCCGAGTCGGGGCCATTTGGGCCTCGCTGGTCACTGCTGTGGGTTCTGGCCCAGACGGGGTAGAAGCCGTCCTGGCGCTGGTGGCTCTGGTGAGCATGGGCTCTGTAGTGGTGGACTGGTTGGGTCCCGGGTGAGACTCAGGGCCTGAGCCAGTGGCCACCGTGACATTTGCGGCTGGGCCAGGCTTGCTAGTGACCATGTGCCCACCAGAGGTGTGGGTGGCTCTGTGGCTGGCTGCGCTGCTCTTCGGTGCTGGCGTGGTCTGGCCAGATGCCCTGGTCCCTGGGGAATGGGTGTCGTTGTTCGTGGCAGAGACCCCCGAGGTCGTGGGTTCGGACTGTGAATCCCTAGAGTCCCTTGCTCTTGAGGGGGGCTCCAGGGTGGGGGTTGATTGGTGGGAGGCAGTGTGGCCGGATTCCAGCCCCGATGTGGTGGCCTCCACTCTGTACCAGGTCCCCACTGAGGAGGAGGCAGGCTTTGTCGGCCGGGCCGTGGGGCCCAGAGAGCTTGCCTCACGGGGAGGTGTGCTGCCCCCTAGGCTGCCCGTCATGGTTGTCACGGTCCGTGGCGTTTTACCTAGTGTCGGCGTGGATGCCTCACTTTTGGAGTGTTGACTTTTTCCCATGGACGTCGTGATCAAATTTTGGGTGTTTTTCATGATCGAAAACTCAGTTTGAGAATTTCTGGTACTTTTGTCATTGGTAGGTGAAGACTTCGTTTTGCCTGTAAGTGTCCAGAATGCTCAATTAGCTTGGTTGTGGGTGTTTCTTGGGTTTCCCTATGGTTAATCTGCTTGTTGGCTTTTTTCATTTCCTTTCTAATACCGTTCTTTTTTTTTTTCCGTTAGTGTTTATTTTACTCTATATTTCTTTTCATTTTAGTATGTGTGATCACCTTTTTTCCTAAAAATCTGGTGACTTTGTGCTGTCCCTCAATCAGTAAACCCTTCCTGCAAATATCTATTTATGGAAAGTCTGAATGGGAATTTTTGGAATAATGGAATAAAATCGCTGTGAAACTGGCAGGTTTCTTTTGTGCAGAACTTCTTTCGCCTCATGTAGCTGTTTGCTATGATTGTTTTGATCAGTGTAATAGTTTAACTAGAAGTATACCATATTTATCCTCTTTTCCTGACCCAGAACTTTGAAATCTCCCGGAATCTCATATACCATCAAGGAAAAGTAGCATTTTTCTTTTCTGTCACATTGGGCCTTAATCCTCAATGATTCATGTAATTAGATGTTCTAAGACCCTTGGAATTTCTAGTGGTAAAAGAGTTATTTGGTATGCTCATGAGCTCACTGGTGGCTGAGGGACCCTAGGTAGTTTCAGGTTAGGTGCCTGTTTGGGGATTTGGAGCTTTAATCTCTACCTCATTATCTCATCTAAAACGGAGCGAGGGGATAGAGACTGAGTCATTTATGTTTGGGCATCAGTTTAATCAGTTATGCCCCTGTTATGGAGCCTGTATAAAAATATGAAACCATGGGATTTGGAGAGCTTCTAGCATGGTGGAGAAATCTAGGTACGGGGACAATCGTATGCACAGAGAGGTTGTGGAAACTCCCCACCCCTTCCCAACTATCTTGCCCTCTGTATCTCTTCCATTTGGCTCTTCTTCAGTTGTGTCTTTCAAAATCAACTCATAATAATAATCAATTTCCCTGAGTTCTGAGAGATGTTCCTGAAAATTATCAAACACGAGCAGAGTATGGCAGGAGCTGCTGGCTTATAGCCTGCTGATCAGAAGTAGAGTGGGGTTTGCCATGGACATCAGAAAAGGGACAATGTTGTAGGGCTGAGCCTTTCACCTGTGTAGGTTCTATGCTAACTCCAGGTGCTCGGGGTCAGAAATGGATAAAGCGTAGGACACCTACCTGATGTGTGCAGAGGACTGGGAATTGCTTGGTATGAGAAATTCATATCTGTAATGTCAGAAGTGTCGTGAGTGGAGAAGTTGTTTTAGTCATTGTTTCTGAATAGTTCTAGTGGGACAAAAGGTTGTGCTGGGAACTTCACAAATTTGTTTTCTCTTTTTATAAGTGACATTTGTCTCATTTTATTGAAGGAGAAGTGAGGGACAGAGTGTCAAAGTCACTTTCCAAAGGAATATAACTAATGAAGGACAAAATCAGC